GGTGTGCTTGGTGATGCTGGAGTACTTGGTGACTCAGGTGTGCTTGGTGATGCTGGAGTACTAGGTGACTCAGGTGTGCTTGGTGATCCTGGAGTACTGGGTGACTCAGGTGTGCTTGGTGATCCTGGAGTACTTGGTGACTCAGGTGTGCTTGGTGATCCTGGAGTACTTGGTGACTCAGGTGTGCTGGGTGATCCAGGTGTGCTGGGTGACTCAGGCGTGCTTGGTGATCCTGGAGTACTTGGAGACTCAGGTGTGCTTGGTGATCCTGGAGTACTTGGTGACTCAGGTGTGCTTGGTGATCCAGGAGTACTTGGAGACTCGGGTGTGCTTGGTGATCCTGGAGTACTTGGAGACTCAGGTGTGCTTGGTGATCCTGGAGTACTTGGTGACTCAGGTGTGCTTGGTGATCCTGGAGTACTTGGTGACTCAGGTGTGCTGGGTGATCCAGGTGTGCTGGGTGACTCAGGTGTGCTTGTTGATCCTGGAGTACTTGGAGACTCCGGTGTGCTGGGTGATCCAGGAGTGCTTGGTGATCCTGGAGTACTAGGTGACTCAGGTGTGCTTGGTGATCCTGGAGTACTTGGTGACTCAGGTGTGCTTGGAGAACCAGGAGAACTTGGAGACTCAGGTGTGCTGGGTGATCCAGGTGTGCTTGGAGAAGCTGGTGTGCTTGGTGATGCTGGTGTTCCTATAAAGGAATTTAAATATTGATTTTTTGTCATTGAGAATTATTTTACACCAGTTCCAAATTTTCCATTTTTTAAATACATAATAGTTACACAAATTCATAATCATTTTAACTTAAGTGAGTTGTTTTGTTTACCTGCGCAGACCTGAACTATCACTTTAACATCAGGATTTGTCAAAACAAACAAAGGTCCTTGGCTTGGGTTCAAGTCCTCGCCAGAATTAAGAGGCTGTTAATATTTTTAAAAAAAAATGTTTTATTTTACACGAAATATAAACTCAATGATGCATGCTGATCTGGTTATTTTTTCTTATATTTGATATAACACACATTAATGTCTTAATTTTGCATCAGAATCATTTAAAACATGTTTTTAAAAGCTAAGAACAACATCGTTAAGAAAGGACTTGTTTTAACAAACTTTTTCATTGGAACTCTGTGAAATTTTAAACTCAGGACAAATCTTTACCGTTTTTTCATAAATAGTTGCCCCTTCAGGAAGGTTTACATTGTTAATATTCTCAGGTTTTATTATGACATATGTTACATCTTTCTTGTTCTCATCAATTGCTGGTACTACATAGACATCTCCACCAGTTTGATCTACAAGAAAAAAACAAACAAAACTCATAAGTTTACATAAGTTTCTCATTTTTAAATATTTGACGTGAAGGGAAATAGCAATATTACCTCACTACTTTTGTAAGATTTAGGAAATAGTTTGAAAAAAACAACAGTTGTTGAATCAAATGTTATTATCATTGTGAACACAGTAAAGTGCATGTTAAAAAAACAAACAGTTTCTAACACTACAAAAGACAAAAAAAAAAGAAGAAAAAAAGAAAATAAACCAGCTTTATAAACTGATACATTTTTAAAGTTCATTGAATTCAAAGTTAATGAAAATATTATAGGCGATGTACCAAATTGTAAGGAGAGAGATATTTTAAAATTTTACTGACTTTGAGTTCTCTGTACCTCCACTGGTAATGGTCTTGCTGTTGTTACAGGTCCATCTGTTCAAAATATTTCAATCAGATTATAAAATAAGCCAGTATTTACTATATGAAACATTTGAAATAGGAAATAAATGATAATATTTATTTTAAAGAAACAAAAGAAACAAACAATAAAACAAATAAATTTATGCAATGAAAAAAAGATAATTAAAATTATGATTTGTATATAAGTTTTATGAAACTTACCAAATTTGAAGACAATGAAAGAATTTGGTGTTAGGTTTTTCTAAAATATGAAACAAGGAACAAAATGTTAAAAAATAGTCAGAACATTTTTCATTGAAATGTATTAACTTTTAAGACAAGAATTATGTCATTAAATTGCAATGCAACTATATCATTTAAGGATAGCAGTGAGGGAATCTGGTTACACACCAGAGCTGATGGAGGACTTTTCAACACTGCCCGCCTCCGAGCCAGGACCAAAACGACAGATGTCCTAATTCGCGAACTACTATTTGCGGATGATGCGGCACTAACAGCACACACAGAAATTGGTTTGCAACAACTCGTGTCAAGCTTCTCCAATGCCTGCAAAGAATTTGGTCTGCAAATCAGCTTGAAAAAGACAAACATCATGGCCCAAGACACTCGACCTCCACCTAACATAAAAATCGATAATGAAAACTTGGAGGTTGTGGACAGTTTCACCTACTTGGGGTCCAAGGTCTCCAATACACTGTCCATTGAAGAAGAAATTAACAGCAGAATCGGCAAGGCAGCTGCCACAATGGCTAAACTAAATAAACGGGTCTGGCAAAACACGAAGCTAACGGAGAAAACCAAACTGTGCGTATATCGAGCTTGTGTCATCAGTACACTACTATACGGGAGCGAGACATGGACCACCTATACATCCCAAGAGCGCAAGCT